AGAGGGGGGGGAGAATCAGGCAGTGAAAAATATGAAGAAGATGGATGGAGTGGGGAAAACACGGGAGCTGCCTCAAACAAAGCCTATAAAGCAGCAGACGGGGAAGTGGAGCGGGGGCATTAGTCGAGCCTGCTCGGGTTTAAACGGCGGGAACAGGAGCAGATCTGGATGGATGGCGGCCCTCCTCCTCCAGGCCACGCTCGTCTGTTAGGGGGAAGGAGGGACGCAGGTTATTGGGCTCGCTGTGAACAATCCTGCGTGACACCAAAACACGGGAAGCCAAATAGGACGGGGACGGAAAATGATGATGGATGGATGAAGGAACTCCGATTTCCCCCCTTCAATATTAAACAAAAGAGCGAAGGTGCGCGATGATTCAGATGATGGGAGAGAAAACGCTGATCACACGGGGCAACCGGAACAGATGGATTCATCTGGGCCCGAATTGCATCTTTTAAATTTTTAATGCAGCGTTGTAACGAGTCCGGAGCTTTTTTCTAAGCTCTGGGCAGCAGCGGGGTGTTTGCAGACAGGCGGGGGCCTCGCTCGCTACTCGCCACAGCATTAAACCAAAGTAAATAGCTGTTGTGTCTCATTACCATTCATTTTTAAGGGGGGACTGTTAGTGTAATGAATGCCCGTGCCATCTTCTCCGGGCCCTCCTCCTCCTTCAGTATTAGGAAGAGTAATACTATCATTCACACATGATAAAGTGCGAGAAAATATATTTCCTTTGCAATTAAAACGGCCAATTTTGTGTGCTCACGCACAACAGGCGCCGTAGAACACCAAGTTTTGTTCTTAATTACCTACAATAACAGCGTGATATATGGGCGGTGCGCTTCTTTTGCTGGGAGAGCGTGATATGAAACAAGATGCTTTTAATAAAGTCGTAAACCGGAGCGCCGGCCCCGTGGAGCAGATCGTGGGAGTGTGTGCCGTCTAATTTGGTTACACACACAACAAAAAAAACTGACAAAAATCAGCACCTGCAAAAGAATTTTCCGGGGTTGAGTGGAGCTCTGAGTTTAGTGTTGGTTATAAACAAACCATTCTGAATCATGTAACCAACGGCAACATGTTTCTCAATTATAAAGAGGTTAAAGGTTGCCCCCCCCCCCCTTCTCGCTTCCGGGTTTCTGCTCTTTATGCTGTTACCAATAGTTATTAACATTAACACGTTTGTGGAAGAGACTATCATTGCCTTTGTATAATTGGTTGTAAAATTAGTGCTGATTCTTTTGGATTTTGCCTCCACAAATCGTTAACTCTTTTTTTAAAACTTAGAAACAAGCGCAACCTGTCTTGTGATTCAGGGTTTATCACCTAAAACCGAACCAAAAAAACAGGTACTTTTTCCCAATTCTATTAAAGCGATCGATTTTATTTTCCTTAAAGGTTTAAAAAAACAAATCCTCTCACTTGTTTTGGGGCAGAGAGAGTTTGTACAGAGAAACATTTAATGTTCCAACGCTGGAACTTTGTCCGGGACTGTGAATGAGAGAAAAATAAAATAAATCCAGTGGAACTCAGACAATCTGGGCCTTTTTCGTTTTTACATATTTAAGTGAAAATGAATAATATATCACCATACAGGCCCAAACTGCCAACACATATGTTGTGCAATATTTATGTTGTCACCACATTAGCATGACGGATGCAGACACTTTTCATTAGGGACAAATGAAAGCTGCTCTGACACAATTATGGCAAAAACAATAACAGCGCAGTGTGAGCCGCTCCGTGATTGATAATACTGCAGGGGTGGGGGGGGTTTAGTAGTGTTGGGCTTAACCAGGCTCTCCCTGAGGGGTTCTCCTTTGGCATTAGTCAGACAAATCCCTTTGTCAACCTCTCCCCTCGCCATTTTTATTCATAAGCGTTTGGCCCCTGAGAAAGACATCAAACCACGAATACAACGAGGGGTCAACATCATCTTTGCGCAATGTTAACCTCTGCATTGATGACGCTAATTCACATTTCCTCAGTCCAGCCTACGGGGGTTCAGCAGGGGAGGAGGAGCAGAGTGTGTGTGTGTGTGTGTGTCCCTGTGGCCGTGTGTGCATCAGCAGCCACTTTGTAGTGAGACTCCCTCTTGACCCGGGCCCCTCCGCATGGGGTTTGCATTGATAGGGTTTTTTCCGCTGAAAGGAGGCGAAAGTGAATGTTGTGCGGGCTCATTGACATGACAAAAGGGGGCATATGGTTGTGTGCGTGTTGCGGGATGGCCGTGGCAGGCACCATATTCCGCCGGGCAGGGTTGCCAGGTGCTTGATGAACGGACCCACTGAGAGTTGACAAATCAGACGCAAATGCAACAGACTGGCTCGTGGCTCTGGAGCCCCACGGGGGGGGGGGGGGTTCTTCCTCTGCTCCATCCGCAGACTATCTCTGATTAACTAACCACCAGGAGCTTTTACATGTAAAGATGAAGCTAAAAGTCAAGTCAAGTAGGCTTTTATTGTCAATTTCTTTACATGCGTTGGTCGTACAAAGAATTGAAATTTCGTTTCTTGCTTTCCCGTGCAGACATATAGACATAAATGAGATAAGTTGGATCAATTGGACATATAATAAGAGAATTGTGTGATATAATAGATATAAAGTGATCAATTGTAATGTGCAATATTTACTGTACAATACAGTCGTTCAAGTAACAGGCATGAAGAAAGCGGCAGCGTGCGTGTGTGTGTGTGTGTATATGTGTGTGTATGTATGTTTTTGAGTTGGTTCAGTGTGTGTGTGTCCGCTTTTGAGTCAAGTGAGTGTGTATGTGTGTGTGCTTTGAGTCAATCCAGTGTGTGTGTGTGTGTGCTTTGAGTCAGTCCAGTGTGTGTATGTGTGTGTTTTGACTTAGTGCAAGTAGAATGTCAAAACACACGCACACATTGTTGTGTTTTTTAGGGTTTTGGTTTTTTTTTGTGCTTATCTTCCCAATGAGAGCCCTCCCGTTTGGTAAAAGTGTCAAAAAAAAAAAAAAAGCCCCACAGAGAAGGAGAGAATGGAGATAACCTGATGTAGCAGCATTCCCTCCCACACAAAGCCATGAATAGTCAGCTCCACCCTAATGACTATTCAATACAGTCTGCAGATGAACGGGCGGCGGCATCTGCTGCTCGCCAGACGCCAGCCTTGTAAGAGGGCCATCGCGGGCTAATTGAAAGACAGAGGCCATCTCTCAAAGATAGTGTTTTTTTTATCCGCCCGTGTCGGGAAGAGAGGAAAACAACTGACAAAGGACGGAGGGGATGAGGAAGATGGAAGGAAAAGCATTCCTCTCCTCTCAGAGAGAACCAGCTGACCCGTCTGCGCTCGGTCCCAGGCGGCCATATTGGAAAAAAGCCTACCGGGCATTGAGTTAGCACAACCCGAGCCCACTTTGTGTAATTAGAGTGGCCCCGTAGCCTTATTGTATTTTAAATACATGTTTGCATTACATGGGCCGTGATGAGAGTGGAAAAAAGCTCACAGTGGAACCATCTATTCGTGTTTTCTGAAGAAATAAAAGCTGGAAATGATCAGAGCTTTTGGTTTGTGACCAATCGCCATTTGGTCCAAAACAACCTGTAAGTAACAAATAATAAAAATCCAGTCCATCTACAGTTTTACATACGGGTAATCAACAGATATGCGGCCGGTATTTACACTTTCCCAACGTGACAAATTAGGTTTTCTGTTGTTTTTCCACCTCAAGGTCTCTTTATCCTCCTTTGCATCAAATGAGAATAAAAAAAGAACAAAAAAAAACAGCCTCCACAAATGAAAACTAAAGGATTGCTGTCATAATTCTCCCCCCGATCTCCTCTGGCAGTTTTTATTACCGGAGGCTCTGAATAATCTTTTCCGCCCTGGCCTTTTCCAAATAACACAATCCTTCAGCATCATTGCTCGCTGTGTTTTATGGAGAAGTGGAGATGAGAAAGGAGGAACATTCAAATGAAGCACTATCTGCTACTGCTCCAGCGGAGGATCCATCAGAGTGGGGGGGTTTGGGGGGGGGGGGGGGGGGGGGGGGGGGGGGGCAGTGGATGTGGAAGTGGCTGTTTGATCATTTCAGGAGTTGGCTGCCTCGGAGAGGAGAGTTTGTGGGAAAAGTGGGGAGTAAATGTCGGGTTTTTGAAGATGTGGATCAGTCTAAAGTTGGGGGGCCCTAACCCTAACCCTAACCCCCGTAGGTGCCTGTTTTTGGGCTGATCCGACAGGCCCCAAAACACATCAGGGGCGGGAGGCCGTCTGCCACCGGCTGGCACAGAGGACCCGTCAGCAACGGCACCCGCTCCCCCCCCCCACTCCCCTTCCCACCCCCCTGCCTGCCATCACCAGTGAGGGGAGAAAAAACAGAACCATTGCATTAAAATCACTTGTTCCAAAACTGTTTACTGACCGAATGGTTCCTCGTAGAGTCCAGTAGATTTTACATTAGGACAGCCAGAAACCATGAAGAGGTTTCGTTTAGGGAGGAATAACTCCACATCAGGCGCTCTGCATGGGGTCGCTACAGCTCTTCTTGTGTTTCTTGGGAGATGGTGCACCTGTTTTTTTGCTTTTTTCTCTTCTGGGGGGATAATGTCATAACTTGTAATTCATTGACCGTTCAGCCCGACACCGTTTCTGTGTTTGTTTTATTTTTGTGGGGGGGTTAAGGGTTGGAGGCGATCGATGATTGTATAATTTCTGGTGAAAGCGGCATTTTATTTTCAATTTGGAAAGAGCCAAAGATGATCCTCTGACATTTTAAGGAAGCGGTTCAGCCTGATGGAAAATAACTTATTTTCTGAGATGTAAAAAACTTTAATGGGATTTTAAGGCTGTTTTCTCCACAATGTCAACATTTTTCTGCTCTATATTTTTGGGAAATTCTGGGAAAAGTTTATTATTTAGGATATTTAATAAAAATGTGTTATTATTTAAGAAATCATTTAAGTTTTTCTCCTCTAAGGTACAGCATTAAAGTAGCTGCCTGTATTTTATAGGTAAAATCAACAAAACACGAGGCCATTTCTTTTAGTTTGAATATGTCGTTGAATGCATTTTTTTTATTATTAAATTAAACTTTTTGTATGTCGAGGTATCGCCAACCCATAATATCTTTGAGCTTCTTTCACATTTCCTGATACCTCATCTGCTTCACTTTGATTCTTTAGTTTGCACTTTGATATCTGTCAAATCATTAAAGTCTTATTTATCATTTTTTAGAATACTAAAAACAACAGTTAAAAATGAATGAATTAAATAAATGTTTCAGATATTAGGG